CTACTATTCAAAAAGAAAGGTTTAAAAAAAAAAAAAAAATCTGCTTACGCCATTTTATTTTGCATTGCAAAAAATTGATTTGCACAGTTCACTTGTTATGCAATAAAGGATCTTTACCAGATTTTATTCAATTATCTCTAAAGAAAAAAACATTTTTTTTCTTCGTTGCTTTTCGAATGGTTTAACCCCATAACAGTAGTAAGTTTTTTATAGAGAAAAAGCTAGCATTCTTTTCGATTCTATTAACTGTTTTCTTTAGAGACCTAATTTTTTTTTAATGTCACAGTCATAAAGCGTACTGTTGACACAAAAAATTACCTAAGCGTGTTTTGCATTTAAAAATTTCATTGTGAAATATTATTCTATTTTTAATTTAAAAGATTTAGTACTATAATATTAATTAGGGCCAATTAAAGAGTACATTTTTAGCTTTTGTCCTTACATTGTTTTACTTTATTAAAAAAAACTTTTTTCAGATTCCTGAATCCTTTTGTAATATTCGATTCTTTGCGATTAATAATTGCTTATAATTATTATAATATAATGCAATATAATAATAATAATTGCTTTAACGTTCACTTGGTACTTTCTTTAAATTGGGACTTGGCGGTAAAAATATTCACGTATTGATCTTAAAGATAGGGTTGTTTTTGAATTTGATGTAGTGCATTTACTTTAGGAAAAGTCTGAGTTTTTGAAGTCGAATATATAGTTTTTTAAAACATTCATGATAATAGTAAAATGCTTTATCCTCTTCATTACCTCGGTCCACATATGTGGACCATCGTTTCTTAGCTTCTAAAAACACTTTATAAGAAAATGAGTAGTTTTACCCCCCCCCCACTGAAACTTTCGGGTACTTTTAAGCTGATTGTTTTATATTAAGGTACGTACATATATTTCATAACTTTAACTTCTTATGTTTTTTTCTCTCCGTATTTCTGAAATTTTACCCCCTAGTAAATATATATTTTTTTTATTGTTAATGTTAGATTATTTTCAATAATTATGTATCTTGGGTGGTTTGCATAATTAAAATAGTTTTGAAACTGAGATTTCATGCAGCAATGCATTGTATAACATGCACGTTTATATATAATATGCACGTTTGTTCCTACTTTAGGTGCTATTAAACATTTGAAATATTTATATTATTTTACTTAGTTGAAATCTGAGGTTCCCGTATGTGTACCTAAAATTATCCCCCCTGGCAGTTTAATTCATCTTTTTTTATTTTATCTAATAATGACCTATGGCAGTAAAATAGAAATTCGAAACTGTTAAATATTTTTTTGCTCTATATCTTTATACTTCAGTAGTGAAGAAGTTATTAACTCAGTCACGTGTGTGCATGTTAGCCCTTGCCTAATCTTTGGGCGTTTTTTTTTTTAATTATTTTTTAATTGTTATGAAGAGCAAAGGCGGAAAATATTGCAAGTTGTTATATATTTAAAATTTTTCTTCAAAAATCTTTTTAAGTAAAAAAATCCAAGTTATGTTATTTCTTATCCAAAAACTGTCAATGTATTCTACTGATGAGGATAAAATTTTTTTTAGTAGTATCCAAGCAGAATATTATATAATCAATGTGTTCTACTCATTTAAAACTATCAATATATTATGCTAATAACGCTAAGAATCTTTATTATTATCATCATATAAACATAATATTGTCAAAATCCTTTTTGTTTTTTATACCTTAAAGAGTTGCATATTCTTTAATTGTTAGACCTTAATGAACGTGAAAGTTGATTTAATAATATCTCTCTATAATATAAGTATTATTAAATATTTAATATCAGGGTTTGTTGATTTAAATCAACTTGATTTTAATCACGATTTAAATCATGATTTAAATCATTTGAAACTTCTGGANTTTAAAATTTATTTTAAATAAATTGCTGCATTAATTAATTTTAGTTAACGAAATTACTTTCTTTCTTGGTATGTGTTAAATTCTAACACAATCGAAATTACATCTTTAAAACTCTTGACTCTTGAGATTGAAAGTACAGATTAAAGTAAACATTTAAGTATTTTTTTCTCATATGTTTACAGTATCTTTGACATTATCAGATTTTTTATAAAGAAATTTTGTGAAAAAAAAATTTCAATGAGTATATGATTTTTTTTAGCTTATCTGTTTTGATGTAGGATTAAAAACAAATATTTTAATATAAAAATATATAGATTAAATATTTATTTATTTTTTGATGAATGACTGCATTAATAAACACAATCTGTTACATTTATTTAGTCATTTTAAAAATCAAGAGAGAGAAAAAAAGGAAATCACAATTTTAAATTAAAATTATGATTTGGTAATTGAAACTTTGTTTTATAGTTAAAGTATTCCTTAAATTCTCTATTTCATCTAGTCTTTAAATTTCAATCATGCATTTGTTTCGAAATAGTTGCTATGCATTCAAAGCTATGTACTATAATGAAAAATTGTTTTAGGTAGTTAGAGCTTCTAAAATATTCTTATAATATAATTTTAATATTAATATAATTTTAATTAAACATTTATAAAGCTTTTTTGTCATAAATCAAAGTTCTTATAGTGTATTTGAATAAAAATCAAAAAAATCTGATTTAAATCAAAAAAATCCGATTTAAATCAAAAAAATCTGACTTTTTTGATTTTTTCTAAAAAAATCAAAAAAATCACGAACCCTGCTTAATATATTATATATATTAGTACTATTAAATGTTGAATAGTTTATTTTGGCCATATTAATACAATAAAGCACTCTTTTTACCGATATAATCGTGTGAGCTGATGACAAAATGATATCGTTTCCTTATTTTGTTTGCCGCGTTTTTTTAAATTTTTAAAAAACACTTAATTTATTAATATTTTTTTTCTTCTTTAAAAATATATATATTTTTTTCTTCTTATTTTCTCTGTATTTTAACTTAGTTTATGGGTTCTATATATTTACAGCTTATGTGCAGTACTAAAACTTTTTGTTTTTCTTAATTTTCTTCGTTAGTCTCGCTAGTGATATGGGGCACTCCATACATATTTTTTTTATTGACATGTCCTCAAAATTGCTGTTTTTTTACTTTTCTTGTCAGGGTGCGATACATATAATGAAATATAATTTAGAAAAAATATTACGCATTTTTTATTACAAAATTTTATTTAAACCCATTAAACTCTATTACAGTGGTTCCCAAAAGGTGTTCCATGGAATTCCAGGTTTCCTTGAAAGGGTCACATAGGTTCCGAGAATTGGGACATTTTTTAAACATTAATGATTTTTTATGCATGTAACTATATTTATATTCAAATCATTATTATTTATTTAATATTTCGCCTTTTTTTATGAAATTATTGAAGCAAAATGTCAGTGAAAAAGATAGTGTTATTTTTCAAATAATAATAATTACGCAAGTACTTCCTATCAAACTTTCCGATTCAAAGAAAATAACACAATTCAACAATAACGAAATGTGTTTCTCTGATAACTATTCTCAATGTTTGTTTCGTTTCTTCAGTTCTTTTTCGTTTTCATTTCAACGAAAACCATAAATTCCGGTTATTTTATTTTTAGCTTATGAGTAATCAAAAACCTAATTTTCAACTAAACTATTTAGTTCCCCCTTCGGATCTGCAAATTCTGACATAACTCTTAATTTTAAGTCTATTTTTAATAAAACGGTTAAAAAATTAATTTAATTACCTCCATTAAATATTTTCCAAATGATTAGTAATGTTTCTTTGGTTAATATGTTTATTTTTAGTGAACTTTATTTTTTAAATCTGGGTTCCGCGAAAAAAAAAATGCTAATCATCATTTAGGGTTCTGATAAACACGCGCAAAAGCTGCTGACGAAAATTAAAGCAAATGTAGTGCAAAATGCGATATAAAGAATGCAATAATATAAATAAATACAAAAATAACTCAACAGCCAATGTCACACACCTTTTGAATGAAGATGTGTGGGGTTTCGTTATAGCATCGTGGCGAACAGCAAAAGTTGTAGACCGTGTTGCTATTGGCTGGACTGCACACTATCAACTAAAATTAGAGAAAGCAAAAACTATTTAAAATATAACACCAAGAAGTTTAATCTGAAATCGTAGTTAAGCCTAATTCTATACTGATCTACATACACAAATAGTATAATTCATTTTAATTCTAGGTTGTTGGATTAACGTTAATGTGTATTTAAAATTGAGCACTATGTTTGTGCCAACTATTGAAAATATTAATTTGTTGGCATTAAAGCAGTCAAAATTGTGTATTTCTGTTTTGCTTCTCTTTATAAAATATTTATTGTTTTGTCTAATTTGCTTTAGTGATACCGTTTAAATGATTTCAAACATCAATGTGATAATCTTGCCGGTGCAGAGCACTTTAATTATGTGCCTTCTGAAGCATTTTCAGTTATACAACAATGTGAATTTTATGGTATCATTTTCGAGCTGCATATTCTGCAATGAACAGCTATGATAGCGGTTTCTTAAAAAAATTTAAGTTATTAATTTTCTTTTTAAAAACATTTTAATTATTTATGAATCTATTGAATTTTTAGTTTAAGAGTTTAAAAAAGTAGTTTTTTAGTGGATCCCTTAAGTTTAAAAGTGTAATTCCATAAATTCCAATTGTAATTGGGTAATCCACATCTTAAGAGACAGCTAGGAAAAATTATAATTTTATACAGGTATTTTGTGAATATATGTGTTTTTTTTTAAATGTATTCTCATTTAATACTAAGATTTTTCTGGCATAGATACATATTTAAAATTTTTTTTTAACAATATATATTAATATCATGCCTTATGAATCATCCCATATCTAGTCTTAAATTAATTATAATCGAATAAATTTTGTTAAATATGCATTTTTTTTAACATATATTGTTTTAAAAATAGCAGTATTTCCACTATAAATTTGATCAGAATTCAATAAAAATGTTCGATTAATTTATTATTATACGTTTAAGAAAAAAAACTAATATATTTTAAAATTTATATTTTCTATTTTTAGGTTAATATTAGCTGACAAAACTTCAAGGAATTTATTTTGTTTTTTGATGCTCAATCTCTCATTTGCTTTTGTAGAATTATTCTATGGTGTGTGGACAAACAGGTAACATTAATTTCTAAAAATATTTTATTTCGTTTTATTTTAAAAACATTTTATTGATAAAAACCATTTTTATATTAAAAACAAACTAATTTTAATAAATGATGTATGCTTGCTAATAAATTTCAAAATATTGTTTTAATGTTACTTAATTTTTTAAAGTGATTTTTAAATTATCAAAATTTTATATTATATTAAACTTAGGAGTAATCAAGGAATTATATATAATTATTCATTTTTTCACGAATCCATATGAAAATTCTTCTATTAATTAATTAATTTCTTCTAGTTCTAGGATTTTATGTGTACTATTAAATGGACACAACTGAAATAAATTTTTTTGAAATTCTTTTTTTAAATTTTTTTCGAAAGAAAGTATTACATTTTTTATTTATTTAATTTCAAAATAAGTAGCTAAATAAAATAAATAAGTAAGAATGCTCATTGCATCTTGTTGTTTAGCTTGTGTAATTGCTGAATAACAATAAAAAAATTTTTTACGTGCTTTATTTTTAGAAAGTGTACCTAAATTTTAATAAACTTTGTTTTTATCCCTTAACTACCATATTTTATTTTTAGTTTTGTAACTATTGACTTGAATTATTTTAAAATCTGTATATAAAAAAGAATTGCTAATAGAACAATTATATAGCACATTTTAGTCATGAGAATAAGCAAATTCTTTTTTTTATTTCTTTAGAAATATTTCTCATTATTACTGCTTATTTATTTATAAAATAAAAGCAATTTTTCAATTTAATAAATTATTTTATAAAACTTACCAAGCAATGTTAATAAAATTTTTTCATTAACAATTGACAAAATGAGTTTTAACTGAAAAAAAAATGTGTTTAATTTAAAAATTATTTTTGTGCATTTGTAAGTTACTATTTGGTAAAAAATGTTCTTGGTATAAGATTAAGTTCTGTTTCAGGTTTTACTATAAAAGTTGTGGAATAACTATATATTTCCCATTATATTTTGCAGTTTAGGACTCATATCTGACTCATTTCATATGTTTTTTGATTGCACAGCTCTATTAGCTGGCTTAGCTGCATCTGTGATTACTAAATGGCGAGCAAATGATCGATATCCATACGGGTATGTCGTTTACTTTGTTTTCTCACTTTTGAGTATCCTCTTTGCACATTTTATGAAGTAAATTTTCTTTTTGTGAGTAACAGAACAACTTTATTTTGTAAATCAGCAGGCAAAAATACAAAGATAGAAGTACTTACTCATTAGAAAGACGATAATCCTGTCAAATTAACCGAGATATGATATACAACTAAATTTAATTTATAAGTAGTAGGTATCAATTGAGGAAAATAGAAATAAATAATTATGGAAAAATAATTAAGTTTTTTTTTTAAATGTTAAACATTTTACTAAGTTTTATAGCTTATTATAATTGGTGAATTATCCCTTGGGGATTACTTGTAAGATTTTTTGTTTAAAATCCTGAACGTATAAGGCGATACATGTCATTAAATGATTACATAAAAAGCTACTGAAGCTGCTATTAAAAATGATTATATGAAAAAACTTCTCTTTTTCCACCTGCAGTACTTGTTACTGTTCATATTTCATACAATGTTATTATATATATATACACACACACACAAATTTAAAACCCTCTATCTTGAATAGAAATTTAAGAAAGAAATTAGTGTCTTAATCATCTTCTCTCCTACATAATTACGGCATAACTAATAAAAATTAATATAAATTATAAGTTTAATCTGATTGAAATTTGTATAATTAAATTTTTTTAAAAATATTATTTTAATTCCAGGTACGTCAGAGCTGAAGTGTTAGCTGGCTTTGTAAATGGCCTCTTCCTTTTATTTATAGCATTCTTCATTTTCTCTGAAGCTGTCGAAGTAAGTTAATAGTGATTAATAATTTTTCTCCTTATGTTTAAAAGGCTCAAAGGAAGAAAAAAAGTAACAGTTTTGTGAGCGTTGATAGTTAGCCTATGACTTTGAAACAATGTATGCACTACAAACCATAACAAAATGTTTATTAAAAATAATAAATTTATTGTAACTCACTGATATTCAGAAAGCAAAATGAAAAAAAAAAATATATTGTAATAAAAAAATTAAAAAACAAGCAAAATATATGCACCTTTTTAAATCTTCTTTGATGTCAAAATCAACTTAATAGTTTTAACCAAGATTTATTTCAAAATATTTGACAACTAAGAGTTTATAAAACTGTGGTGATATTATCAATTTATTTTTGTACGCTTTTTATTTCTTGTTTTTTTATTTTTATTTTAAAGAAGAATTTATATTTATTCATTAATTACATTTTATCCAGATTAGAAAGGTTTCAGAACAAACAGGCACTATTTGAGAATTCTAATTATATACTTCTGAAATGGGTATAGAATTTTCCGTTTCCAATTTAAATAGTTTCTTCAGCAAAAGTTATTGTGAAACATTTGGGGACTCAGAATTTATAAAAAAAGTAAAATTCTTATTTCATTATCACATTTTTTGTTTCTTTCTCTCTTTTTTTTAAAATTTGCTCTTTTTTTTTAAAATTAAGGACTTATTTTATAACCCCTTTGACACTAAACAAATGTATTTATTATATAAATTTCCATCATCAAAATGCTAAAAATGTTGCATTCATTTAATATTTTATGTGAATGGCCTTGCTTTATTTTTATTTATTAATTTATTTATTTTTATAGAGAGCGATAGAGCCTCCTGAAGTAAAGCATGAAAGGCTTTTTGTTGTTTCAGTGCTTGGTTTTCTTGTTAATTTAGTAGGAATATTTGCTTTTCAACATGGGCATAATCATTCACATGGTGGAGGTAAGTTTTACTTTATGCTTAGTTTTTATTTTATGGTAAGTAATCCTTATGAGACTAATTAACACATAGGATCATTATTACTATTATAGGATTAACATATTAATTAACACATAGGATCCATATTACTACAATAGTAACTTTATTAACTTACTAAAATCTGTTCAATCAAATTAGTTTTTTTGATAAATGGTGAGTTATAAAAAAAATAATCCGTAATTTTATTATTCAAGAAGACTTTTTGGAAAGTTTAATAAAGTCGGAAGACTTTTTGTTTCTTTTATTTAATGTTGCCATGGTATTAAAAAAACATATTATCCAAAATCTTCTTGCTTGTTAAATTTTTATGAATTTACATTAGCTATTAAAAACTTTATGTTGGGGAGAAAAAAATACAAAATTATATTTTCCGAAGATTCCTTAGTTACAATGTATTATCTTTTCAATTGCATAAATTATTCTTTTAGATGCTTTTTTAGTTACACACTTTTTTGTTGTGAAAACAAACTTCATTGTTAGAGTTTTTGCAATCGTTACCGGATACATAATTTTGCTTTTTTAATATATCTTGATTTTAGTTTGATGAATATAGTTACTAAAATAAATTCAATTGAAGTTATGTTAGCAATTTTTGATATTACTCTTTTTTAACTACTGAGGAATAATATCCTTTTTTATTTTTAATAGAAATTTAATTTCTTATTTCTAATCCTTTTTTTAAAATTTAGTATTGAGGGTATTGAAGGAATAATATTTATATATTTTTAAGGAGATCATGGTCACAGCCATGGTGGACAATCACATAATCACGAGCATGGTCATAACCATTCCCATGGTTTTGGTAAGTAGAGTTATGAAAGATTTCAATTACTTTATAAATTAAGAAATATTAAGTTACTTTATAAATTAAAAAAATCTTAAATTACTTAAGAAAATCATATGTTTTTTGATTTATTGAAATGCATTTATGCACTCTGCAGTAAACCATTGTATTTATCATTGATGAAATTAACATTAAAGATAAAGTGGTAAGATTTCTGATGCTGAAATTTTTATTTGCAATGATCAGTGATTTACGCCTAAAGAAAATCTTATTATGTGAATAAGAAAATTGTTTTTATTTAGTTTATAAGTCTTCAAGTTAATATTGCATCTAATTGTTTTGGAATATAGTGTTACCTGAGTTGTGTGTTGCCTGAACATTACATCCTATAGACATTTTCTAGTTTTCTATAAAAACATAACCTCCGCCAGTAGAGGAGGATGATATATTTTAGAACTATGTAAAGAAAACAATAGTTTAATTTTAATGAGATTAGCTAAAGTATTGATCAATGCTTTGATTGAAATATTTATTCCATCTTTGTTAATTTTGTGTTGATAAAGATTTCACTTTCTTCGAATTATCCCTATTGCAATTTTTTAAGTAGCTTGCATCAATCTGTTATGAAAAGATTATTATTATTTACATTTTGTTAGAGTTTGTAGTTAATTTTGATATTTTTAGAGATTATTGTTAACATTTTTGATTCTACTCACCTTTTTTATTATTACTTGCAAGTTTAAAAACATATTTTTTAAAATATATTTTATGTTTTAAATTGAAATTTTGCTAGTTATATTATTTTAGCTGTATTATTTATGAAGGATTAATTGAAAAAAAATTTAAAAATCTAGTTGTAAAATCAGTATTAATTGTTTCATAGATTATGTAACTTTGTTATTAAGTAATACATATTACTAACTGCTTAAAAATTTGAATTAAAAATTGCGTATTATTTTTAGAAATACTTTAATTTTTATTCATATATGCAATGCATTTGAAAAAAATTTCAGCAGTACTTTATGTATGCAGTTTAATATATTAGGTGTTTAAAAGTGTTTTCAAAAAGTAATTTAACTTCTAAAGTAATAAAATACAGTAATTTGTTTTCAGAAAGTAATAAAAGTAATTTTAATATATTTAGAGGAAAAAATACTAATAAAAAATGTGTTATTTTTAGGGAATGATAAAAGTGAAGAGCAACCAACAAATGGTGGAAATAGTCAGATTATGCATGGTAATTGGTTACTTGTAATAGTTCTGTTTGATATATTTATTATTTTTTTTATCTTTAATCTTTCATAAACATGTAATTAATAAAATAAATTTTATATTTGTAATAAATTTATGTTTAAACAAACGTTTTAAAATATTGTTAAAAAAACAGGTGTTCAGAGAAATGTTTATATAAACAATTTAAGAAGATATTCACAAAAAATTTAAAACGAAGATAGCATAAAAAATTTATTTGCACCTCAAAAAATCTCTTAAAAGTATGTCAATTCAAAGAAATCAAAGTACATTATAACATTTTTAACAAAAAATTAAAGTTTTGGAAAAGAAAGTAACTTTAAATTTAAAAAGATCTTTACATTTTTTTAAAGTAAATATCAAAGAATTTATATCACAAATTCATATAATTTAAGAAATTTTCTTTTAAAATTTACATTTTTAAAATTTATATATTGAACATAATTGTTATTTACTTATCTATTAATTAATAAATGAAATGCATTTTTTTAAACTTCACTTGTTTACTAATTGAATGATTTCAGTAAACTAAATATAATATAAACATTTAAAAAAATTTTCATATTACAAGTTAGTTTTTTTTAAATGTATTAATTTTTTTTAATTATTATGTTTTTTTAATTGTTTTAAAATTATTTTTAAAATTTTTTTCTTTTTAACTTATCTTCAATTATATATATATATATATATATATATTTTTTTTTTAAAAAAGAAAAAAAAATCTTTATATAAATAAATGATTAAGCTTTTTGGTATAATTTAATCTTGTAACAAGACTTGAAACATGCCTGTTTATCTTTTTATCACACGATATTAAAATATGTGCTAACAATGTAAATATATTCAAATTTTAAATTCAATAAAATGAATATTTGTAGGTGTGTTCCTTCATATCTTAGCTGATACATTAGGAAGCGTCGGCGTTATTGTATCAGCCATTTTAATGAGCCAGTTTGGTTGGATGATTGCAGATCCCATATGTTCAATGTTTATCGCTACTCTGATTGGTTTCAGGTAAGTACTTAATTAGTTTTCAAATCACAGATGTAGTTTTTAGCTATTCTTGCACATTTTCTTATAAAATTTTTAAAATTATTTTGTCTCTTCTTTTAAGCATTTTCTTTTCAGTATGCTAATGTATGCTTGCTTTTATATGTAAAATATGTTACAATGTTTTAAGCTGCGAAATCGGACGCAAAGTGAGTGAGTTCTCTGAGTTAATAGACTTTTTTTGACGGATTATGATTCCTAACACCTAACATATGGGGGTAGCTGCAACTTGGGAAATATGATCCTGATAATTTGGTCTGGAGAGCAGTTGAAAGTTTGGACCTTTTAATGTTAATTATACTTTTTGTGTATTTCTGGAGAATACTTTAAGCGAAGAGAAAATTTTTTGATTTGTGTATTTCTGCATTTTTTTATTTAAAGTTTTGTTGCATTATTTCAAAAGATATAATTTGAGATTTCTGAGATAATTTATAGAACTAAAAGCTTTATTCTGATAAAATAAAGGTTCAGAGGAAAAAAATATTCAGAAAAATTAGCAATGGAAAAGTGTACTCAAGATAATCAGTAGCAGAAAGAAAATAAATTTTTTATAACAGTTAAAAAAAGCACTTTTACTATTACACATATGAAACATTTGAACTGAGTTTGATAATTTGAGGGAGTGCAAACTTGAGTCAGGCTTAAATGTTGACCTGTTATTTAATACTTTAAAAAGAAATATTGCTTAGAAATAATAAATTTTTATTATTAGGATTTTTTTTATTATTATTTGAAAACAAATTTTCAAACATCAAATTTTTTATGAGTTTTAAACATCATTAATTTTAATAAATTAAAATAAATGTCTGAATTCAAAAAGTCCCCTCCTCATTCTTGCTCTTTTTTTGTTGTTGTTACTTTTATTTTCGCAATGCTTTTTCTTTCTAAACATAATTTAATTAATTCTTAATTAAGTGCTTTAAATGTTTTGCTTTGCTTTTTTATTGATTTTTTAAATTTAAAATTAATATTCTTGAATTTAAAATTAATTGGAATTATAAAAAATAATATAATACTGCTAATTATTAATAGTTTATAATGTAATAATAAAAGTCAATTTTATAAAAATATTTAAATGTGAAAGTAATTAATTAAAATTAATTAATTAAAATTGCATTAATTATACATAAGTATGCAAAAATAATTAATTATTATGAATTGTAAAAATTAATATTATTTATTTTTTTCAGTGTGATTCCTTTGCTTAAAGATTCTACTAGTGTTTTAATGCAAAGGACACCTAAAGCTTTAGATCATGTTCTTCCTGGTGTTTACCAAAGAGTATGTATGCCTGGATTGTGACCTTGATTTTTTTGCTTGTCATTTTCAGAGTTTCTGATTTGTAGAGTATAATCACATTGTGATTGAATTCCCTCTAATCTGACATCCCTGATAATCAGCAGCATAGTTTTAATGTTTGTTCGAGGGGAGTTATAATCGGTAATCTCCTTCTAATGTGTGTGTGTATGTATATATATATATATATAAATAAATAAATACAAGAAAACACGAAGAAAGTTAATAAAAACAATAAGTTTCATTTATTGCGCTTAAGCTGCAAATAAACAGAACCCATTAGATAAGTTCAAAATGAAGAATAAAACAAAGAAAAATTAAAGACATATGAAAAAGGGGGAAATAATAAGTAAAAAAATAACAACCAACAGTTCAAAAAAAAAAGAGAGATATAATCTTTTCATCAGCCCACACGATTATATCTATATCCGTAAGTAATATTTGGTTTTTATGAAACTAAATATTAAAAGATTATATCTTTTTTTTCCGTTTTTTTTCTCCCGGTTCTTTAAATAAAATTTCATCCTTTTTTCTTTTTTTTTTGAACTGTTGTTTGTTATTTTTTTACTTATTATTTCCCCCTTTTTCATATGTCTATTATTTTTCTTTGTTTTATTCTTCATTTTGAACTTATCTAATGAGTTCTGTTTACTTGCAGCGTAAGCGCAATAAATGAAACTTATTGTTTTTCTTAACTTTCTTCGTGTTTTCTTGTATTTATTTATTTATTATATATATATATATATATATTCATTCGTAACGCTTAAATTAAATAAAATGAAGAATGAAAACTTTTTATATCTAGGTCCTTTTTATCCTACTATAGTTCATTAATCAAGTAATGTTTAATTTTGGAGGGGGTTTTGTCTCCCAAACCCTCCCCAAAACTAGGCCATTGCTGATAATCCTTTATTTATTTTTAATCAAACCTTCAAATTTTCTGAATCTGGAAGTTTTTATGAAACTAAATATATTTCTTCTATAATTTTTTTTATGGATCAAATAATTTGCACAGTTGAATATTCATATTAAGTTTTTTTTAGTTATTTAAACTTAATATTAAACTCATACTATTTCTGTTATTGTAGTTAAGGGTTATTATATAGTATATCTAACGTGCATAACATTTCTCTGTCTAATGTTTGTATTCACTATGAAAAAGAAGTATATCACTTTTTTGATTACTTTTTAATACATTCTGAGACCATTTTATAATTATTAAAGATTATTATAAAGTTATTAATAAAATTTATATTATTATTATAAAAGAATATTTTAATTCAATGTGTTTTTTTTTTTAAAATTAAGTTTTATGTATAAGATAAATGAAGTTGAATGCTACTGTAATATGACCTTCTTACAAAACTTAATGTTTCATTTCAAGAGCAATAACTATTATTTGATGTTATTTGTTTTTTTAAAATACAGCCATTTGGTTTCATCAGTATATTGTAGTTTGCACACATTTTGTAATTTAGGAAACATATTTTTTAAGTTTTAGTGATTTGTAATTAAAAAAGTAAGCATTAATAGGTTACTTTCAAAAAATAGGTTAGTTTCATAGCAAAACTGTAAATGTTTATTCTATATTCTGAATTTTTTTTTGTTACATTTATTAATTTTTGTGATATACACATAATAATTTGAAATTTTTTAAATGGCTTGTTTTTTTTACATGTTTTTATTTTATTTTTAGAAACCTTGTCTCTTTATTTTCAGTTGATTTTTAATTATTAAAATGTGTCCTTTTTTAAGGTAATGCAACTTGATGGAGTTTATAGTGTTCAAGAACCTAGATTTTGGACATTATGTAGCAATGTTTATATTGGTACGATAAAATTAGAAGTTGCTCCTACTGCAGATGCTAGATACTTATTAAGCCACACTCACAATATTTTTACTCAAGTAAGCTTTTTTTGTAGTATTAGTAAGTTGTAATTTAAAGGTAAATCATATTTTGCTTTGATTTGTATATATATCTTCAGTAGTTCTTGCTCCAGAAAACAAATTAACTGCACATATATTTTGAGTAATTATAATTTATTAATTAAAATGCGTGGTTGTAGAATAATTCAAACTGTTTACAATTTAAAAAGGTTATCTTTGTAAGGCAGGATAAATAAAGTTTATTGAATCAACTTTGGCAGAAATTAACTTTAAAAAAAAAATATACGTAATGTCTCCAATAGAAGAAGAATAAAAAAGTGCAGAGTAGTCATAAAAAATAACTAAAAGAAAAACCTACGAAAATTACGAAGCATTACATAAGAAAATGAATTATCTGAAAAAGTACACAAAGAGATGTATTGATGTAAAACAGATGAATAAACAACTAAGTTAAATATGATGCAGTAATATGGCATTTATTAATAAACCTGTTGCATTTATCAAATTTATTTAGATAGTTATCATTTACCTTGTGTATTATTGGAAGTATAGTTCGATTGCAATTATTTTGGGTACTTTATGGTGGTGACCTACGAGTCTCATCCAACAAAAATTAATCTTTTATAAATAAGCTATATGTAAATAAGCTATATATAAATAAATATATCCTAATGTCTTTTTTTATGAGTTTGTTATTAAAAAAAATTTTTAATGGTATAATTAATTTTCATTCATGAATAAATTTAATTTATTAATTGTATTGTTCATGAAACTGTGAAAAACCAATATCGATATCCCATGAATCATAGCTAACATCATTATTTCTCTTTTACAGTGACAAATACTAACTTTCATTAAGTGCTGATGGGTAATTTTTGGATAAAATTTTTTTATCAACATTATTTTACACCAGCAAATTCTGCTATTTATATTGCATCATTGTAGCAAGGCTGTAAAACCCCAGTATTTCTTCAGGAAAAAAAACCCCAAAAGCAAATTCACTAGAATTTTTATTATTTATCAAAAACGAATAGACATCAATCTAGCTTTTAACCTACACCCTGGTTGTTGGAGCAATATAGTCACAACTGACTCTTACTTTTTACTTTGCCTTTTTTTTGTATGCAGTCGGAAAAAAGACCCTTAAATTCCTGCACCAGCTCACTAGGGCAGCATTACAGGATCTTATCTTTCGTTTTTATACTTGTCTTCCTGTTAGCATTGATCTGCCATAACTATCTAAAATGAACAGTTTTTGTTATTTTTCAACTCATACCATTTATATTTTTTGTAATCAATGCTCTTAACGTACATTTTAAAAATTCTTGTAAAAAAAAAAGTAAGAAAATTCACATTGACGGGGTTATGCATAAATTATGACACTATGAAAGGCAGTAGAATCATTACTGAAGAAGGTGAGATCCACTATATGTTGAATAGCTGATTGAAACCCGATTAAAAGGATTTTTAACTATCTGCGTTCAACTTCTCTCTGTTTCCTTGGGTAATTAAATAGATTTTGTTCTTTTGAATCTCACCTTTCCCTGTATAGGGATTCAGTAGTCCTTTATTCACCCCTGCTTAAATATAAATTTTCAACCCTTAATGTATATTTCATATTTGACAAGAATTCTAAAAGGAGGAGGATAATGGAAGATCCTCTTTAAGAATGTAGACAAATTGACGCATTTTGTATGAATAAATTATTTTTTCCTTTTACCGCAATATTCTTAATGATTTAAATAATTTTTAAGATTACTATATGTTTTATTAAAATACTTTTTTTCCTCAGGTTGGTGTGCGGCAACTCTATGTACAGATCGATTACGCTTTAGTGTAGCATAACAAATTGAAACTATTATGGATTTTACTTAATTACCTTTTTGTTTACACCTTTGTTTGGTGGGGAAATTTTGTGAGAGAGGCTAGGAAGTGGATGGCCTTGAAGAATTATTGAACTTTTTAAACTTTTTTTTTTGTCTGGATGTCATTGAAAATCATTCTGTATTTGGATGCATGGTGTATAAATATTGTGGGTGCTGCATCTGTTAGACTTCATCTTAGCTAGTCTAAAATATCATCGATAAATTATATATTTTTTACTTCCAAGCACTTTCATAAACATTGTTGTTAATTACTGTTATTATTTAAATTTTGTTTTAACATTTTATGTAATATTTTGTAATAAATATCAATATGACAGGTATCGTTCTTTTTAAATTATTTGTTTAGAATTTGGCATTTATTTCATGAGGATTATTTAGTGCATTGTTTACTCTATCATAGAAGAAAACTGTCTTTCAACAAAATAAAATTTTTTTAAAAAAGTAAAAAATTTTATTTTATACCTCCTAAATTGCTATGAAATAAGTATATTTAAAATATGTTAAAAGCTATTCTTTTTTTATTTTATCATGAAAAAATTGGTCTATCTTAAACATTAATATGAGAGAAAGGGACATTAGAAAATAGTGTGTACTAAATTAAATTAAATTTTATCATGCCTAAATGTAATTAATTACCATTTTGAATGCACTTTTTATATTAATTATGTTACTTAGAAGTTCTTTAAATATAGTCCAACAAACTGGCAATTAATTTTCCAAACAACAATTTAATGCTCAAAAATTAAATTTAATTGTTTAAAAAATGCATATTATAATACATTTTCTAACCTTATTTCATTTTTAACTAATAAAAATGGAGGTTTTACATTTGCAAATTATTTCATCTGTACAATTGTAATTTTCAGTTTGAAGTATATTTAAGGGAAAATAGATTTTATTAGTTTTTCTTATAATATATTCAACTTCATTACTGTAAATTAAGGTGTAAATTTAAAAATTTGCGATGAAAATGTTAAGAAATGAAGGATTGTAAATCTGAAGTCTTGACCTTGCTAAAGCTACACAAGTTTCTGAAAGACCTTTTTTTTAAAATTTTTATATTTTAAGATGTACGATACGGTAAACTAGTTGAAGAGTGATATTTCTATACTTCTTTGTTTCCCTCAATGCTTTTTCAAAATTTTTAAAACTATTTCTTTTCTATGCATCATTTAGTATATCTTTACTTCAACACTGATTATGTGATCTGAACATGAGATAAAATAGCTTGTTCTGTTAAAAAAAATTCTAAATTTAAAGTTAGTTTTTTCTGTGTGAGATTATCAAAAGTTTTTTAAGTGTTTATTTTTGTTTTAATATAATTTCTTCTCTGTTAAAAATAATGAATAAATCAAATTGTTTTTTTTTATACAATTAAATGCATGTATTTTTTTAAATTATTTTTTCTCTCCATTCAATAAATATGATCTCAGTTCTTTAAAGTAGGGGTCACAATTATTTTCCAAAGAAAGGCACAGACGTTTTTTTTTTTGGGCTGCAGCAAATTTAGTTTTTATTTTAACTAATATTAATTTAATTATTTCTTATTGTAATAAGAACAATATCAATTTGGATTAAATTAAAAGACAAAATTTATGCATAATATTTTCCTGTTAACTAACATAGGATGTTTTTGGACCTTACTAAATTTAGAATTCGTAGCAGGATTTTAAATTTCCATGAGAAAAAATTAAGTTTAATATTTTCTTACCCGTATCTTTAAATTTTACAGTGCATTATGTTTGTTTTAAACATGCTTTGGTTAAAGAAAATTTTCAGTAAAAAAAATATCCTAATTTTGAAAAAGAAAAGTGTTTTGTCATCTTGAATTAGTAGCTCTATATATTTGAATTTAAATGTTATAATATTAGTATCTTTTCAAAGTTAAAATATAGTTTTTTAAATTAATTTTTGGTCAGGAAGCTATGGGCTGCACATTCAAGGGTCCCATACCATATTGTGAACCCTTACTTAAAAGCAATTAAACCAAAAGTTTATTGAGTGTATTTTGAGTTTTCATATTCTATAAGTTAGTGAATTCTTTCTATTTATTTGATAAAGGTTTAACTTATAATGTCTTAGAAAAAAAATTTTCTTTGACCCATATTATATGTTTTATCCCATTTTTTTCCCATTGTATTTTTTAGACCTTTCTATATCATTTTCTACTGCCAATTATGATTGATTGAATGTAAACAATAACAAGCTTCCTTACACCTGAAAAAATTCATAAAACTTCCGGTGTATCCTTCCATTTACTGTTATGCTTACAAGGTGGTATGTGAACAGGCAGAATATCCAAAGAAGTTTTATTATTGTGATTTTTGTTAAAATGTATGCAAAATTTTACCGTTCATAAGAGTTTTCTGTAATTTATAAGTTTGAACAGTTTGTGAGCCTAAAACAAATTTAAAAAGCTAATATCACAACAAATAAAGTTAGGTTTCCATTGTTTTCAGTGTTATGCCTTATTTGGCTATATTTGTGTAAAATATTGCAATTTGTTGTGTTTTAGGTACCATTATTGCAGAGTCTTTCAAATTCATTTGTGGTTTCTGTAAAAGCTGAATTGTAAGAACACGTTATATTGTAAGCATAAGTCTAATAATATTTGATGATGTGATTTTTCAAGCTTAGGCATAAAAATCAATTAGAAGTTGTAACTTGGAAAACTTACGACAAATTTCAATTCTTAGAGCCATCTGCTCTTAGCTTTACATGGTTAATGCTCCATATTAGTAGCTCTATTTCCATTTTCCGATTTCATTGACTAAACATTTTTGATTAGTTCTATTTTTTGCTTTTATGTGCATATGTTGGTTTTATTATTATTTATTTGTGTTATGGTATGATATTTGTAAATTTTTGGTATTAAAGTGAAATCTGTTTTGTTAAAAGCTTGGTTTATAAGTTTGAAATGTGTTAGAAAGTTTAAGTTATTGACTAAAACATAATACTATTTTAATTTATTTACTTATTTTATAATTTATGTTTTCTTAATTTTTTTTCATTATTTGCATATATAAAATACTTTCAGTTGTTATATAAATTCCAATCCTATTATATAGGTCAATCAAGGTATATTTTGAATAAAAAACTATTTTCTGATACAATGCTTTGATTGGATTTCCTTTCTGCAAGTTAGTGATATTCATTTAAAAATTATAGCAGTATTTTTTTTTGTTACCCAGTAATACTGTAGCTAAGTAATACAACTTTATTAGAAAGTGTCAAATGATTGATATACAATCTTTTCTTTAAATTTAAATTAGAAAAATAAATGTTTCTAATCATTTTTTAAAAAGGTAATTAAATTAATTTTAGTTTTTGTAGTTAAATGCAGTCACTTATAAATAGTTATTCATTGAAATCCTCTTCTTAATAATTGGAATTAAGAATTCATTCACACATGAAAAAAACAAATCTATTTTGTTTTCACTCAATTAATCAATTCTGAAAACATTCAACAAAACTAGATTGTGAAACGTTACATTAAAATAAAATTATGGTAAGGAAATAATTATATTTGTTTGATATCACTATTTTCTAATTGGTATTTGTGTGATCAAATTGAAAAATTGATACTTGACTAACGGTAAAAGAATTAAAACTGTTGTATAAGAGTTACAGTTACTGCAATCATCCCATATTCATGCGATAAGATTAAATTTCATAGCGCAGTTTCTAAAATTAAACACTTTTGTTTTTATCAGTTATAATTATTAGGAATTACTTTCAATTTAGATTCAATGGTTAAAAATATTCTTAAATCATATGAATTAAATAAAAAATTAAAATGAAATGTAAAGATAAAATTAAAATAGAGTAAATTTAAAAAAAGATCTATTATTTTAATCTGTAAATTTTTTTAATGAATTCTCTTTTTTTATGATAAAGTATATTTTCCCCCCATTTATTGTTTCAAACTTAAAAAAACTTTATTAACTTTTTGCTTTATATTCACTGAGTAATGCCAGAATGTCTATGGTGTTGCTCTCGTCAAAAATTTTAAAAATTAGAAGCAGGCGATTTAGACCTGATTAGTGAGATATTATTTAAATAAAAACTGAATATGGATTCAAAGCAGTGATTCATACAATTAAATTAGTAAACCAACTGTTCAAATGCGTAAATGTGAAAATAGTTTCAATTCTAAAAAAATCATCAGTGGCGAAAAAAAAGATATTTTTTTTTAATTTGAAACATAAACATTTCATTATTTTATGAGCTAATAAAATATACATTATTCTTTTTAATTTATAGACGTAACTGAATAACTTTTCCCATGGTTATAAATTACTTATTAAATTATGTTTTTTTACAATAAACAAATTGTGTACAAAGTAATCGCTATGAAAAATGTCTATTAAAATCCAGGAGTCACTTTTTTTAAAATCATAAATAATATATTTTAAATTGAATGTGTTGTTATAAATAATTGTCTGGAAAATGTTAAATGAAAGAGAGTATTACTAGCACAAAATGTCCAAACATTTAATTTATTAATAATACGTTCTGTTGAAGCATTAGTGCATTGTCCATTGCAGAAATAAGTGCAGTATCTTGATTGTTGATTGAATTAGTTTTAAAATATAATTTGTGTATTTTTAAAATACAATATTATTTTATAATATTGTAAAGAAAAGTTGGATTCATGAATTGGGAGAAAAACTTGATCTCATGTGTCTTTTTTGCTTTGTTTTCTTTTTTCAAATTTAATGACTTCCAAAACATTTTCAATTAAATTACTTTTTAAAATTTTTTTTATTCTAAATTTTTTTGTCGTTTTTTTAAATCTAGTGTGAATCAATTTCGTTAAAATAGATTCTGTGGATTCTCAATGAAACCAAACATTTAAACTCTGTTTAAAACCATCTTGTATTGTCTTCTTGCATTATCTTTAAAATCTGGTTGCATATTTTCAGAATCTTGAGAAAAATGAATTAAGAATTCTGCCACTCATTTAAAAAAGCAACGTAAGTGCGTCACGGTAGATTTCCAGAAAAGTGACTCCACAACTATTTTTCTTTCTATTGCAATTGCTATGAAATAGAATTTCAGAAAACTGATAGAACAAAATTTAATTTTGAAAATTATTTTTTGCAATGTGTAGCTTATCATACATAGATGCAAAAATCTCAATTTTGAATTTTTTGTCACTTACGTTGATTTTTCTATTGCACAGCAGAATTCTTTTTCAAATTAATCACTTTGCATTCATTTGTACTTTTAATTAAAATCCAAAACTGATGAAAACTTAAAAATTAAACTTTTCTTATCAACAATAACATGTATGAATATTTATTAAAACATCTTAAAGGAACAAAGAAATAAAGCTACACGTTTTGGGAAGAGTGAGCTTCCCCTCATCAGGCATTTAGAAACACTGATTTAGGAGGAGAGGCTTGTTCTTCTCGAAATATATAGCTTTTTTTTCTGTGTAGATGTTTTAATAAGGTTCTAAATGTTTCCACACCAGTTTTAATTTTCAATAATCTGTGTCCTGCTCTTAATGCAGGATATTTCTGTGATATATAAATTAAGACTGCTTTTTAATCTTATTTAATAAATTAAGTTACTTTGATTTGTTTTAGTTTTCAAATGATTGAGTTTAATATCGGTTCTTTAGATTTAGTATTTTTTTTTCTTAATAAATGTTTATAACGCCACATTATTTTCATTTTTGACAAGGATTCTGAAAATGTGGAAATTTTGACAAGGATTCTGCAGGGTGGAAATTTAAGAACATTTTGTAGTCAGTTAATGATTGTGCATTAGAAATTTTTTTAGCCACTTTAATTCGATCTTTTATGTGTAAAATAAATTTCTAAGTTTTGTTTTTGTTTGCTTTTTTTCCCTTATTTAAAATGCTCTAAAACAGGGGTTCTGAAAGTGTTTGCAGTGTTGAGAGAGAGGGTATTTTATCAGGTGCCTACGATATAGATTCTTGCCAAAATTTTTAAATTAACATACATTTCAAGGGGAAAAATATGAGCTTTATTCTCAAAAACTAATGTTTTAAATCGTTTGAAACTTATTATAAAAAAAAATTAGTTGTGGTAAAACTTAAGACTGTGATTCGAACACTAAACATTTGTCATACTTAGCAAGAGTACCTTTGTACGTTTTCCAACTGAAGTTTAGTGTTTATTTTCAATACACGTTATATTAATAATGTATATATTCTCCTTACTTCTATAATTTTTTATTCATAGCCTCATAAACACAAAATAGATTTGAAACAATGTATCACAAATGAATATTGTTTGATTACGGGGCAATGATTCCAATAAGTTTTGGAACCCCTGCTCTAAAGCATTACTGCTAATGACTTCTTATGATGTATGCTGTTAATGTGATGTATAATTTATTTATTGGTTTGAGGGAACAAATATGATTGGGTAAAATGTTTTGAATCAGAAATCAAGTATGTGACATGAATCTTTTATTTTACAGTATTTCTCGAGTTTTATACATGTTTTTTTCCACAACAATTGTAAAAAGCTCTTTGTACTCTAAATAAACACTTGTTTTTAACTGCATAAGTTATTTGTTTTAAAATCCAAAACTTTGGCTGAGGTGTACAAAAAGACTACTAAAAAATTTTTCGCAGTAAATTGGTTTTTATATCTGATTGTGGAATTACAGTAAGTTTTTAAAAGCGTATAGATATTCAAGTTTTCCAACATTTCTTTAATGGCCTCTTATTTATTTTTTTAGTAAATTGTATTACTTTGTAGGTAACTATTCATTTTACACATAAGATACAATCAACTAATTTTTCAATTCTGAGAATATTTTACTTATTTATTTGTATATCTTTTGTAAAGTTTAAAGAATTAAATTTATTTATTAAAGGTTATTAATCATGTTAAGAGGAATGCACTACTTGTGGAATATCAGTTCCGCAAGCTTTATTTTGGCTAAAATACTAAATGAAAAGAACTACCTGAAAGCATCATTACCAGTTCGCCTACCACCTCTTTTACGTAAAATCGCACAAAATAAGCTTTGAATCTTGAAATATAACTTAAAGAAAATTTATAATTTAACATTATGTTGATAATTTAACACAGTTTTCATTGCACATTGTGGTTTAAAGTTTTACCCTGATAAGTTTTAAAGCATCTTTTAAATATGCCACCGTTTTCTTTTCTCTCTCTTTTTATTTTTAAATTTTTACATTTAACAGTAGCTTTATCAGTGACACATAAATTTTTATATTTTTTAAATGTATCGAATAGAAATGGAAAAGTCATGGAGTTTCTTGTTTGCAAATTTTTATAAGGAAAACTTATTTTATCTACTGTATGCTGTCATTCAATTTAGACTTAGTTTAGAAAGTTATTTAAAATGCAATCCATATATTCACTTATAAAAAACTGCAATTTTCTAAAGAATTAAAATTCAAAAAAATTTCTCGAGTTTAGAGAATTTATTACTGTAATTAGAAAATTTAAAAGTAAATCCTTGACTTCTAACAAATCAGGAAGCACATTGTTAATATTTTACTAAATACAAAAATCTAGTGATGGTGTTCCAGTTTTTCATTGTTGTCAATACATTTTTATTGTTTTCTCTCTCTAATTTTCATATTGGTTTGCTTGACATCAGTATAAAACTGAAATAAGTTATAAAGTGATTATTTTCCATAAATATTTTCGTTCCCCTAATATGATGGTTAAAATTATCTTTTAAAATGCCCGTCAGTCAACATCATCATTAAATTACCTGTACTGTTATTACATTTATTATTTATTAGTGCAAATTCCATTAATATTGTATTATGAATTACGCTTAAAGAGATTCGTTAAATGATTTAGAACTTAATTTTTAGCTTCACGCAAAGTAATGAATGCAAAAATTGTATTAAAAATACATCCGTTTGGTAAGCAAAAATATTAAATCCCGACTGTTAACTCGCCAAATTCGTTATAACTTTTTATACTTTTAAATTTTAAATGTTATTTCAAAAAATGATTACTTAGAGAAATAATTTATGTTCACTTATAGACCTTAATAGTATCATAAGGGAAATATTTAGAAGTGGAAGCACAAGTGTTCATTTTAGTACATATAATTTTTGCGTATTTCACCATGTCCCCAAATTTTTTTTAGCGAATTGAAAATTTTTTCACATAATTATAAAATTCGTTTATCCAAAAATAATTCCATGCAAGAAATAACTTTTTTGCAAATGTTTATTATTTTTTGTTATTTTATTTAATAATAATCGAAAGTATACAGTTCGATTTCGCAGGAACTTTTCAGCCGATTTTGCTTAAATTTTGTATTTCACCATGGAAAATTACTTTCTTTAAAATGATGAAAACTTTTTATTCAACGTAATGCAAAATTGTTTTGACTATTTTTAAATAAAATAAATAATTATTAAAAATGATTTTTTCCTGTGGAATTATTTAAAAAAAAAAAAAAACGAATTTTACATGCAAGAAAATCTTCTGTTCGCTTAAAAAACTCGCGAGGTATGATGAAATACACGTAAGTATAATTAACATTAAAGGGTTAAAATTTTCGACTGCTCTCCTGACCAAACTATTTCTCAGCTTTCCGCACCCTATATTTTGGGTGTCAGATAACCGAATCAGTCGAAGAAAAAAAAAAGGTATTTTTTTTCAGAGAAAGTACGTTTTTGTCTCTCATTTCGTAACTTAAAATATCGTATGCACTGATTAATTGACATATTTGAAATCCCATCTTTAAACCATTATGATTCAGTCCCTAAAACGTGAAGATCCGATCATTAGATCAAAAGTTATTCAGGATGGTCCGTTTATTTTTTTCTTTGCACATTGATCGTGATAATCAAGGTAATTTGATTGAATTAATCTGCGTAATTTACTGTGCATCTTTTGGTGCCCTTGTTTAATTTTTTTAAACCTCATTTCTAATACATACTTGCGCTGCAAGTGAAGTACTTAGGGTACCTTGATTCTGACTTGTTGTTAAAACATGGCATTTGTTTACGTTAGCAACTGTCCTTTCCACTCTATTTCGAACAAACCAAGCCCATCAAATATCAATTCTCTTAAATGACGCATTCTATATTCTTTCACTAAGATTTTTTCACAAGGATTTCCCTTTATACTGAATATTTAACGCGTAATTATGCATCGAAATTGCCAGGTACACAAAACAAAAATATGTCACTGTTACAATAAAATGCATAAACTAATTATAAATCTAAGTTAAGTGAAAGATGTAGACGATGAAGAATATTTCAACAAATTCGATGTGCTGTACGGTGATGTATGTAAGTAACATCTCGTTAATTAACATTCTAACTTACTTGGAGAAACTTATCTCAACTTTAACACGCCATTTTGTTTATAAACGATCAGCTGGAGCTGACGTCAGAGGTTACATGTGTGGGTTTCTGTGATCTTCTTCTTCTTGAAGTGCAAGTTCCCAATTACGGCATTATTATTTTAGGTAACTAGGTATTTTCTTTAGGTGATTTAATATTCTCATTTTGAGTATAATGAAAGCTAAAATATTATAAAAATCTTTACTTTAAAATTTTTTTTTCTTCTTCTGAGTCATGGTAACTTTTATGTTTAGGGCAACCTTTATAATGGTTGTCAGCGCATTCTTATTGGCCAGAAAATCACATAATCAACTTCTCTCATATGAAGAATCCAGAATTTTTGGTGGTTTTCAGAATAAAACTATAATATAAGTTACAAAGGTACTGTTTGCATGCAAAATATTTTTTTAGTCATAAATTAAATGCATTAACATGTCATAACATGTCATCATTTTTTAGTCATAAATTTAATGCATTTAAATGCATGTTACCTGTAATATTTTTTTATCCTCTTTTTTTTTAAAAGAATTCTCAGATATTATTCCGAAAATGTAATCCCGAATAGAAGGCTCAAAACTAAAGCGGAGATTCTTTATTCTAATGTAATCCTGATGTTGTCGTAGGACATTAAGGCAAGGGGGTGCGATGGTTCTTGTTTTCCAGTGGCGTTATTTATTAGCAAGAATTCTATTTCTGCCACGCACATACGTCACAGCTCGTTTTAAAGGACACATTCACTCATGCATCCATTCATTCATCTACATATCGTAATTTTGACCTAAACCAGAGAACGATCAATCTCCACTTCATTACCCCCAGAAGTATAATTTCGTATGGGAACATGGAGGACTTTGTAACTCGACTGATTTAAAGTGCACAAGTCACCATTTACTACACGGGGAAACTTCAGCAACTGGATTCGAAATCTCTTTCTCACAAACGTGAGTCCAGCACCCAGGGCCTATGTAATTCTGTGATATTACCTTATTGCGCAACATTTTATGGTTAACACATTCAAATCAGTATCTAAATTTATTAACCAATTTATAATTATTAAACAGTAAATAAATTATGTATACTATTATTTTAAGCTCCGATTAGTCAACAAATAAAATTAAATAATAAATAAAAAGTTGCAGGAAACTGTAGAAATTAACTTTTAAACTACAAATGAGTAATCCTTTAGGAGAAGGTCATTTAATAAGTTTTTAAAGCAATAAAAAATTCAATAGGAATAAAAAAAAAGGCAAAAATATATATATGAATATAAAATTTCCATGACAACTGAGGAAAATGATTAAGTTCAAATTTTGTCCCAATCGAAACGGGAATAAAATATAAAAAACCAATTCTATATTAATACAATATAACATTTTGGGATTGTCCAATTGAATAGTGTTTAGATTAAATGCAACCACGCATCAAGAAGCAAACTAAATAAATAAATGAATAAAATAAAAATAAAAATTGAACAATCGTGGGGGTCGGTGAGCGAAGCGGAACAGAGGGTAGGGCACCCTAGTAATTAATAATACTGTAATTAATGAAAATAAAATTATTAATATTTTCAGTTTTAATGATAATAAAAATATAATTAATAATAACAAGCTCTTATTTTGCAATTCATTTGTTTTTGGCACAAGAAAAAACTTTGATATTGAAAAACAATTTTTTTTTAATTGTTTCGAAAAATGTGTGTGAATACATGTAAGAACTATTACGTGCCAGTTTATTTAACCAATTGGAAGTCACTAAGTCATCTTACCCAAGGAGGTAACTGTGTCACAGAAAACGATTTTTTTTGTTTAATTCCACCTTCCACAATTCAAAAGAGAATTGCAAATACTCTATTGAATGCCCGCCCCAATTTAACGAACCCATATTTACCGAATAAACTAATTAATTTTGATTTACCACTTATTTAAATGTAGGCAAAAAAATATATTTTGTAACCCTTGTTGAACAGCCGACCCAATTTTGGGTTTAAGACTACTAATGTTCAACCCCCTAGCCTTCTAATTTTGAACCCAGTCCGAAAGACAATGGAACTCCTGGATCAAGTATTGGGAGAAATTTTGCCTTCTCGGAGGACTTTTTTGATGGAACTAAACCGCATTTTCGTTACATGGTGAGGAAAGCCCAGAAAACCTCCCACGTTTAGTTTGACGGCAAGGGGACTCTAACCCATGATCCGCCGCCTACCACTGAGGATATTTTACGTCAGCACTGTGGTCGGTGCGAGCTGGGTGCGGAAGTCGTATCGACCAGTCATCGCTGGGATTCAAACCCGGTGCATCTCATTGGAAGGCAAACGCTCTATCCCCTGAGCCACCACTGCTTTGAGAAAAATATATAATGAATATGTACTTAATGAATAAAAATGAACTCGATGTAACGAATACTTTCCTTTTTTTGAAGTAGTTAAATTTATTGGTCTTTTAACCTCTTTAGCTAAAGGAAAAATTCTTTTATTTATTTATCAATGTTCCGAACATCTTCAATTTGCAATTTTAAAAAATAGTTAATCCTCAATGATGCCATTCGCTCTGCAGAAATTTATTATAGAAAGTTACTTATGAGAAAAAATTCATAAACGGCCAACACTTTACTTCTTCTATATTTGTATGACTATCTTGAAGTAGGTTGTTGTATAAGATAGGTGCAGAAATTTTTATTTTTAGCAACTGGTATTACGAATTACAGCCTATTGAACTAACAAAATGTTTGGAGCCTGGGAATTCCGTTAAATCGGGCTTTTGAATTGTATGATTTTTTGCTAAGAAAAATTGAATGAAAAAAAAATATCAGGAAAAAATCAAACACAACGAAATTTCGCAACAAATCTTGAAAAATATTTATTATTTCTTCGAAATAGTATTTATTGTATCCGTAAATGAATAGTTCGAGTTATAACCAGTCTGATTTCTACTGTTGCGAGTTTTCAAATTTTTTTGTTCGTAGTAAAATCTGTAAATCCTTTTAAATTAGTAAAATAAATATTATTTTACGTGCTCAAAGTACGTTTTGAATAATTTATTTAAAAAATGTCCAAAGGATATCAGACTATTTAATGAAAATTAAGTTATTCAGAATAATTGTATAATTTACTCTTGATAAATCAGAACTCTTTTGTTTCGTGGAGCCAAAAACGTTTTAGCTCAATTTTTGATCTTCTATAAGGTAAGAACTGATCAGTTTTCATCTTATGATAATTTGATAAATTATTTATTTTTTCTGGTTATTCGTGTAATTTCATAATAATATAAGAATTTAATTACTGTATTCATTCATCTTCCTTTTTTATTCCATTCAGTCAACCTTCTTTCGATAAAAAAAGTTTGCGAAGTACATTAATTAAAATTAATTTTTAAAATTGAATAAATTTTTTTCGTGTTACAATCATTTTACAGCTTAATGTAATACTTTTATAAAGAGTAAGAAACAACGAGTTTTTTTTTTTTAAACTAAAAAGTGCTACATTTAAAATTTTACACGTATTTGATGTAATTTTACAATAAACTATTACGAATTTTTTTTTAGGCGGTTCTAAAAATAAATTTTTTTTTTGAGAATATAAACTAGTAAGTATTATTTCTTTCGAATTTAATCAATGGTATCACGTGAGTTGTGGGGGCTTAGGGGATAGAGCACTTGCCTCCGGATAAGGTTAATCGGTTCCTCCATGAAGGCAAATTAATTCCAATACTTGATCCAGAAGTTCCCTTGTCTTCAGGATTGGGTTCAAAATTACAAGGCTATGAAGTTAAACATTAGTAGCGGTAAACCCGAAATTAGGTCGGATATTCAACAAAGGTTATAAAAGAAAGCACTGTCAGTCTCATTCTGTCCTAAAAACTTTTAATATGAAAATAAAACTTACACGTGATGTTCATGATACTGCATTGCATGCTTCATTATTTTTCTTATAATTATATCCTTAGTGGTAGACTGATCATGGGTCAAAATCTCTTTGCCAACTGGCTAATCTTGGGACGTGTTCGTGGTTTTCCTCTCCATGTAACTCAAGTGCGGGTTAGTTCCATCAAAAAGTCCTCCACGAAGGCAAATTTAACCCAATGCTTGATTTAGGAACTTCAACGTCTTCTGGATTGGGTTCAAAATTACAGGGCTGCAAATTACTAGGCTCAAGGGAGAGAGCGCTCGTCTCGCAATGAGGTAAGTCAAGTTCGAATCACAACGTTGACTGGTCGATACGAGTTCTGCCCCCGGCTCGCACTACTCACAGTGCTGAAATAAAATATTCTCAGTAGTAGACTGGTCATGGGTTAAAATCCTCTCGTCACTTGACTAACCGTGGGAGGTTTTCGAGTTTGTCCTCTCCATGTAGAATTTATTGCTGGGTAGTTTCATTAAAAAAGTTCTCCACGATGGCCGGTTTGTCCCAATGCTTGATTTAGGAGCTGCCTTGTCTTCTGGATTGGGTTCAAAAGAACTATGTTACAGAATTGAACATTGATAGGTTTTAACTCAGACGTGAGTCGGCTGTTCAGCACCGGTTATTAAATAAAATAAAATTGAGATAGATTTTATACTTTTTCGTTAGTTTTTGCGTTATAAGATCACTAACAATCGTTAGCGGCGAAAAGTTTCTAAAACAGTAATGACCGCATTTACCATTTTCTTCTTTTAAATAGAGTTATATTATTGAAGAATAGCGACTTGGGCATTAGAAAGCTAATGTAAACTGTAAAGATCTAGTTATAAAATTATGAGTTATAAAATAATAACGTATTTTATAACTAGTTTTTTCTTTTTAGGAATCCTAGTTCTTTAGGTGTACCACAGAAGGACCTTTTTAAGGAGTGGAACTGCATTGAGTTGCGAAATATATATTCTAAGATATCGGCTGGTTTTTAGTAAGACATTGAAGAGTGTGTTACTTAGGAATTATTTAACGATGAGAATTATTATTAATACTATTTGTAAGTATAACAAATTGTTTCAATGATATCTGTAATATTTTTGTTTTATAGAAATAATGTGGCTACTAAGTAAATATAACAAATATACATATATATATATACCGAAGAGCCATTACACTATGACCACCCTCCATCTATAACAATGGGCTCGCCCAGGTTTTCATGGTTTCTCGCCCAGGAACAATGTTTTCATGGGGCACATTAGGACCCATAATCCTCATAGAACAATCCCTGAAAGTTACTTAAACATAGTTGCAGACCAGGTTCACCCATTCATGGCAACAGTTTTTCCTACGGGGGATGGTGTTTACCAACAGGATAATGCACCATGTCATAAGGATCGAATCGTCATGGATTGGTTCGAGGGACATTCCAGTGACTTTCAAGTCATGTCTTGGCCCCCAAATTCACTTGACCTTAATCCAATAGAATATTTGTAGTCCTACTTGGAAAACCAAATTCGTGCTACCACGCTACCCCCTCGCGATGTGAGGGAATTGCAGGACCAGTTGATGAGCGCTTGGTACCAGATACCTCAGACTACCTATCAGCACCTTGTGGAATCAATGCCACGGTGGGTGATAGCAGTTTTGAGGGCTTAAGGTGGTCCTTCGTGTTATTAGCAGGGTGGTCATAATGTAATGGCTCGTCGGTGTATATTCTTTTATTGTTGAAATATTTTTTCTTTGTATAGTTCGAGACATTCAGTTATAAAAATTTCTTTTCCAGGTTTTGTTCTTTTTGTCTCTGTAACTTCGGCTAAAATTGCTAACAATGGGGCAAATGAAGTATTAATTAGAACAGTGAGATTCATTCCACCAATTAAAACTGTAACTGGGATTGAAGGTAACAATATTTCTTTTATAATTTACCTACTGATGAAGAATTAAATGAATAATGTATCAGTGATTTTAAAACGGTCTATACAACATTTCTCTGGAAAAAAACGTGTTCGAAAAAAATTTGTATAATTTACAATAGTGTTAGTATTAAGTATTTTTTGAGTAATAGGTCAAGAATTAGTTCTTGTTGAGTAATGATAGTACTTTATACTTGTTATATTGGAGTACAAATTAGTTCGGTCAGTTTTCTTGCGATCAAAAATGCATTTATTGCAGAACAAAATGAATGGACAGATTAGTCAAAGTATTGTTCATCACTGGCTACTACTTTTTCCCACCTCTCAGGCAATTTTCGAATTCCATATCGAAGAAATGTCTCGTCTTTTGAGGTGATACAAGTTAGGAGCCAGTTTTCGATTTCTGCGAAAGAAGTGAACTGGTGACCTGCTAAATCATGCTTTATACGTAGGAACAACCAGTAATCAGAAGGAGCAATGTCCAGCGAATACAGTGGGTGCGGTAAAATATCCCACTTGAGCGTTTCCAAATAATTTTTTACGACATCTTGCCGACCGTTATTAAGCAGAATAACTTTGTCATGTCTTTGCTCGCATTCTGGCCGTTTTTCTCGTAATGCACGGCTCAAACGAATCAATTGTTGCCTATAACGATCACCCATGGAATCACCAGGTTGTAGCAGCTCATAGTATACAACACTATTCACCATTCCTGAAACGTCGAAATCATTCCCTACATGATTTATCAATTGGAGCATTGTCACCATAAATTTCTACAAGCAATCGATGCGCTCCAGTTGCACTTTTCTTCCAATTTAAGCAGAAACATAAAACCTCCCTTAAATGGTGCTTAGTTACCACAAAATTTGACATATTCAACAAAGTAAAAAACGGTTTTTGTAAGAAACTCAAAGCGATATAAACTGAATATTATTGACAGATGTTTAACCTCTCTGAAACCACCGAAACCAGCTATCTCTATGAAACATTCATAACAGCAGAGCCATCTCTTAAAAACGGACCGAACTAATTTGCACTCCCAATATAATAAGTACAGTATTAATTTAGTAATATTTAGTATTTGTTGAATTACGTTAGTATTTGCTGAATAACGTTAGTATTTGTTGAATAATATTAATGTTTAAGTGTTTGTAGAACAATATAAGTAACTAGTATTTGNGGTTTTTGTATGAAACTCAAAGCGATATAAACTGAATATTATTGACAGATGTTTAACCTCTCTGAAACCACCGAAACCAGCTATCTCTATGAAACATTCAAACCATCTCTTAAAAACGGACCGAACTAATTTGCACTCCCAATATAATAAGTATTAGTATTAATTTAGTAATATTTAGTATTTGTTGAATTACGTTAGTATTTGTTGAATAACGTTAGTATTTGTTGAATAAAATTAATGTTTAAGTGTTTGTGGAACAATATAAGTAACTAGTATTTGTTTAGTATTATTAATAAATAGTACTTTTTTAGTAATATTTATAAATAGTATTTGTTGGATAATGAACTATTTTTACTTATATTACTACTTTAGTAATTTTAGTATTTGTTGAGCATTATTAACTTTTGGCTTCTGAGTAGTTAACATTTGTTGAATTATATTTGTAATTAGTATTAGTATATATAAAACAATATTAGTGATTATATATTATAAGTATAATTATAATGATTTTTGTTACAAACTGTTATTTAAAATTCGTTGAATGTAATATCTATTGAGTATTATTTGTAATTAGGTATTTAGTTTATGCTCTATGATTAGATTAATTTTCTATTACTTTTTTACTTATTATACTTCAAGTGGCTTAGATTTAAATAATTACGGGTTCCACGTTCCCTAGGTGCTTGAATTGTCTTTCAATCTTTTTCTTGCTCACCTCTTTTTTTATTTTGATTTCATGTATATCTTTTTTTTCATGTTATCTTATTTTATTGTGTTGTTATTTTTCATTTTTTCCCCCTTCAGATACCAGTTTCAATTTTTTTTCTTCATTTTGTGTCATCGTGAGTTTTCTCGATTTCAATTTGCGCAGCACAACCGCATCTGACTTTTGTGTCATCAAACATACAAACATCCTTCGCCTAGTTAGTTCAGAGTTGAAAATGCCTAACATGCTAACATAATGTGTAAAATGTTTTCCTATTTGGAAAAAAAGCTAAGCGTTTAATTCAAATGTTACAAAATTATGTGAATTTATAATTTCTGAGAGGAAACAAAATCTTGAACACTATTATAGTTGCAACAACGAGGCATATTCTTTCATTATTTACAAAGTACTATTGAGACATACTTAAAAGTATTTTATTTTATTTTATAACCGTCGTTGAACAGCAGACTTAATTTTGAGTTTGCGACTACTAATGTAATATGGTGCCACTGAAAGAGTGGCCAACAAATCTGCCCTACTGATACCTGAATGACGAGTGTCAATCGGGTGGGCATTGAAAAAAAAACCACTAATGTTCAACTCCGTAGCTTTGAAACCAATCCAGAAGACGAGNAATGATTTTTGTTACAAACTGTTATTTAAAATTCGTTGAATGTAATATCTATTGAGTATTATTTGTAATTAGGTATTTAGTTTATGCTCTATGATTAGATTAATTTTCTATTACTTTTTTACTTATTATACTTCAAGTGGCTTAGATTTAAATAATTACTGGTTCCACGTTCCCTAGGTGCTTGAATGGTCTTTCAATCTTTTTCTTGCTCACCTCTTTTTTTATTTTGATTTCATGTATATCTTTTTTTTAAATGATATCTTATTTTATGTTGGTGTTGTAATTTTTCATTTCTTCCCCTTCAGACACTAGTTTAAATTCTTTTTTCATTTTGTGTCCTCGTGAGTTTTCTCGATTTTAATTTGCGCAGCACAGCGGCATCTGGCCTTTGTGACATCAAACTTACAAACATCTTTCGCCTAGTTATTTCAGTGTTGAAAATGCTTAATATGCTAACATGATGTAGAAGAAAAGCTAAGCGTTTAATACAGATGTTACAAAATTATGCGAATTTAAATTTCTGAGAAAAAACAAAATCTTGAACACTATTATAGTTTCAACGACGATAAACTTCTTTCGTTACTTACAAAGTACTATTAAGACACACTTAAGAGTATTTTATTTTATTTTATAACTGCCGTTGAACAGCAGACTTAATTTTGGGTTTACGACTACTAATGTAATATGGTGCCACTGAAAGCGTGACCAACAAATCTGCCCTACTGATACCTGAATGACAAGTGTCAATAGAAAGGGCATTGAAAAAAAAAACTACTAAAGTTCAACTCCGTAGCTTTGAACCCAATACAGAAGACAAGGCAACTCGTTAAGTATTGAGAGATATTTACCTTCGTGAAGGATTTTTTGATTGAACTAACCCCCAATATAATAATCGACTAGCCATCGCTAGGATTTGAATACGGTTCACTTCATTGGAAGGCGAATGTTCTATCCCCTGAGCCACCACGACCCACTAAGAATGATTTGCCTTCGTGCTATTTTTTTCAAAATTAATAATAATAATAATAATAAACATAGCGTTAAACTGAGTGGCCAATTCTAATCAAAGTACTCGCAATTAGTAGGCACTCGTACGGAAGAGTGCCCAATTAAAATGAAAACGTGTTAATTCCTGTAGATTTGGTTTACCATTTTTTTTATTGTTTACAACAATTTACAGTACAAAGGGCGCGGATTTTGGAGAGGATTTTGGGACAACCTTTACAAATCCAAAAATTTTCAATTGATTCTTTTTAATGCTTATTGCAGAATTTTAATTCATTTTTTTGTATGTTTAAAGGAAGGTAAAGATAAATGAGCATTTATATGGTAGAAAACTTAAATTTTAATGAGATATTCTACGTAGGAAACAAGACTGTTGTGAAAGTGGAAGAGACTTCCGTTCCACGTTTTGGTCGTTCACTGAGGAATTGGAAGGTTCTATCCCACGAGCCACTACGACTCAAGAGAAGTCAAGAGAGAGAACAGAAGAATTGTCGATATCCGAAATTGACGGATGATTCAGATATATTCTGTAAAATCTACCCATCTCAAATGTAAGTCTTTATAACTCCTATTTTGCCTAGGTTATCCAGTGTTTTTATTCAATTTTACATCAGATATGTTTAAAGAAAATTATCTTGTGTTTATTTTCATGTAACGCTAATTGTAGAATATTTAACGTATTTAAACTACTATTTTTTATTCTTTTGTGTGAAAAATTAGCTTACAGTAGTATAACAATTATTATTAAAAAAATAACGAACCATAAACCAGCAGTACTTTAGATTCCAATACACACTCACACACAATTCAGAACATAATCATTAATTTACTTCAAGGCTTTTATGCATCGTCTCTCGTGTATGTGGATATTTGGAACGGTAAATTTAGGCTAAACTATGTAAATGTAAGTTAGCTTCAAATTGGGGAAAAAATCTATTTTTTGTTATTTTTGATGTGTTAAATTTCAGACAAAATACGACATCATTATTTTTGTATAAAAATCTGAATTTCCAAAAAAAAAAAAAAAAAAAAAAAAAAAAAANAAAAAAAAAAAATTATATATATATTTTGAGCGCAAGGGGAGAAAAGAACAAAGCGTTTCCAGTTCAATAAACCCATCTTGTAAAGATCACTTTAACAGTATACAAATTAAATGCATTTTGTACGAAGTCTAACTCCTCATGAGAGACTTCAGCAAAATATTCCTTGAACTCATTTTCCAAAAATGCAGTGAGGTCTGAAAAAGCTAACATAATCTGACAGGCCTCATTTTCTTTCTTGGAACTAGAATGATTAGGATAATACCTACCCCAGCCCTAGTATGGGACACCTGTGTTAGTAGATTTCATTTAAATGTTATATATCTTTATAGAATATGTAACCAGACTTGCATGTTCGGCTACACTCTTCCAAAAGGCCCTACACGGATTTTGAAATGTTCTTTCGAGGATGATCGATGGAAGCCGGTGAGGAAATTTGAAAGTTGCAAACGTAAGTAAAAACACAGCGTGTTCGAAAAGTACGGGAAAAGTCAAATATCTCGAGAATAACGCACCAGATGAAAATTCCAAAAATACTCGTCTGAATTATTTTCAAAAGATGCATTTGATGATAATAAAACTTTACTGCTTCCTGAGGCAGGGCAAACGATCATGGGTCCAGGCCGAAATTGGAAAATGGGGATCATTTTTAAAGGTCATGTTTCAAAACATCAAACATATTAATTAATATTTTTTCAATCTAAAATACAATTCTCGAGATATGTCCATAAACAATTCGTACTCTGTTTAATATTATGTTGACAGCGCCATCTGTGAACCAAAATACAAAAATTATAGCTAACTTGGAGTATTTTTTCCCCTGCATAATCCAAATCTACAATAAAAAATAAGGGTTTCTGTTGTTTAAACTAACTTTCAAGCTTGATTGAGGCAGAGTTTGATCTAAATAGAATGCATCTTTTGAGAACCTTTCACACATGCAATTTTAAATTTTAAATTCAAGCGTATTTCGAGAGATTGTTGACTGCTACCATACTTTTCAGACATCCTGTTTATGTAGAATTTATTCCATCTGATATTCTATAACCATTACTCCTCCCTCGTTGAATAATTATTCTGATTCAGCCTATATTTAATTGTTCGTCTCTAAAATCTTGCAATTGCATCTTGGTCCATCGGTAAATGTTAATCTGGGATCTCGAGCCAATTTCGAGCTCTACTGGTGTTTGGTGTAAGAAAGATAACATCATTTATATTATTGTAGATTTCCAAACATATTTGAATTACGATCAAACTTTAAAAGCAAATATTGATCTAACTTTTTATAGCCATACTGTACATTATCAGAGTTTGTTTTGAATGATACAATGTTATAAAAATATTGCTCGTTATAATATCAGATTGATACTGCAATTCATAACATGGCTCCAGTTTGATTAATTGATGTATTTATGTAAATAAACCTTAATAAAAAGAAATGTTGAAACTCATATAAAGTAACTAGATAGAGGCAATGAATTTTGAATTTTTCTTTAATTTTTTTAAAAAGAGCAAAGCAATTTATTATTATTTACTAGAAAAAGAATGAACTGACAGGAAATATTTCGGTTTTTTGGAATCTCGTGATCTATATCAATGGTAATAAAAGCCATTTATATTAAACTCACAAAAGAAATAAAAAGGACAAAATATATAAAGTTGAATAGACAAAAATACAATGCATACAAATACAATGCAAGTGGCTAACAGGTATGCCATGTGTAAAAATTTGCAGGCACTTCATTTTGTGAGACATACAGGGAGAAAAATTAAGTTAAAAGGGATTCTCAGTATCGTTATTCGCAATTAAGAATTCCTTTAATTTTTGTTTTAATGAGCCTATGTTCGGTACTTTTGGCAAATCGGTAGGAAAGTTATAAAAGAATTCTGAAGCTATATAGCTGAAGTTCTTGCATAATATGTTTTTGTAAGGTATCGGTATGTGATACCTTACGAAAGTACCGAACATAGGCTCATTAAAAGTTATATCAAGGATATAAGTTTTAATGAGCCTATGTTCGGTACTTCTGGCAAATTGGCAGGAAAGTTATGGAAGAATTCTTTAGCTACATAGCTGAAGTTTTTGCAAAATATGTTTTTGTGAGGTATCGGCATTTTATATATTTCGTAAGGTTTTCTTTGGTTAATATTTTCGCGTTTTTTTTCACTCTTTAAATGCGCGTATGGGATGAAAGAAGTTCTCGCCAATTTAGAAGACTGTTTCCTTAAATATAGCATTTTTTTATGATCGCGAGCTCGATAACTACATATTAAAAGTTAACAGCTTAGACATTGCTAATGGAGTCGTTGCTAACGTTGTCTAAAGTTTCTCCGATAGTCTTATATAATTATTGGGTCAGTCCCCTGACCCGGAGCTTTTGGAGCGTTCTCCAAAAGCTCCCATTTCCATCAGTTCTAAGACAAACTGATAAGCTTTATTGGTTTTCATCGTAAGAGAAGAGTGAAGAAGTTCTTATCTTCCCTTTTTGTTATGAAAAAACGATTTTTTTTTTGTAGGAATAAAATGTTTTGAAAACAAACTTTTCATTTTAATACAATATATTTTCTAAAAATATACTGACAATTTTTTGTCCCTTTACATTAAAATAAAAATTTACATTTTGAAATGGAGAATTTGTTTGGCGCTTTAAACGGTACAATGAAACCATCTTCAGTCGAAATATTCTCTCAGTTTGTTAAAATTATTCTTTATTTTTAATTTTATTATTCTTTAAGATTTAAACTTTTTTTTATTGTAATTGAATTCTCTGAAAGAAATATTCAAAATTAAGAAAAAAATTATAATTAAATAAAGAAAAATGACTTCACGTAAAATTTATGAGTTCAAAAATCCAACTGTAAAATGATTAACAACCCTTAACCATAAACTTCTCAAAAGTTTCAGAAATTTGGAGCGAGTTTCAAAAGCTCCATGCAGGGAAGCATGAACATTGATTAATGAATGAAAAACTCAATTTGCCACCATGTTGTTAAATATTGTAATTACTTTATGAATAGTACCTGCGCTTTTGTTATGTAAACTTTATTTTGAAACTTATATTATTATGGTAACGAATTTTTCAAGTAAATCGGACGAATATTGAATACACACTTCTTTTCTTCTCTTTTTTGCTATATTCTTAAATACAGTTCAAAATAGTTTAGAATAATGTAAAAATATACAACTAGCAAAGTAAAAAAATAAAAAAGCGAAACATCCTGAGTAAATTTTAATCTAATGATTCGGCTCACTAAGATGCCATCTTAGTATTCGAATCTTTAATTTAAAATTGTTTATAAATAAGTGCAGACGATTTGAAAATGGAAATGATATGAATTGGGATCCAAAAGCATTCTTTCGCTTTATAAACACTTCGAGTTGATTAAAATAGAACAATTTTTGTGACATGTATATTTATTTCGTTCGTCAGCATTTGTAGATTGTACAGTTTCCTTGGGACCAGGAGGTAAAATGCTTTGCCGATCTCATTATATGGATCACGGTCCAATCTGTGAGATATCGTGCAAGCACTATGAAGATAAACCTGCTATTGCCGCCAAAGAGTATCGATGTGACATAGATGGGAAGTGGCATCCTAAGTTACCTTTCTGTGCATCTCCTGGAACAGGTATGTTAATAATAAATACAGAGTGATCAGTAAGGTATTTAATCCATCTCGCTATGTATAAAAGCAAAAATTTTTTTGTGCCCATATTTAAGGTAATTAGCATATTTGTTTGGTTTAAAATCTTAGCATTTGTATTTTATTTTATAAACGTCGTTGAACAGCCGACTGAATTTTCAGTTTACGGCTATCAATGTTCAACTCCGTATCCTTGTAATTTTGAACCCAATCCAGAAGGCAACGGAACTCCTGGATAAAGTATTGGGAGAAATTTTACCTTCGTGGAAGACTTTTGATGGAAATAACCAGCATTTGAGTTACATGGAGAGGAAAACCACGAAAATCTCCCACGGTTAGACTGACGGCAAGGGGACTCTAACCCATGATCCGTTTACCACTGAGGATATTTTACGTCAGCTCTACGGTCGATGCAAGCCGGGTGCGGAATTCGAATCAACCAGCCATTGCCGGGATTCGAGCCCGGTTCGTCTCATTCGGAGGCGAGCGCTCTATCCCCTGAGCCATCACGGCTCTAGATTTGTATTGTACTGAACAATTTAATAACGAATTCGGTACTTTGGATTATTCCGACGACCCTCTCGAAAATGTGCAAATCCTTTGGCGCCATCATAATAAAAACCAATTTCCAAAATAAACATTATAAGCACATTAAATGTATCAAATAATAATGATAATAATAAATGAATAAGAACAAAAAAAATTAAGTGTAAAAATAAGTAATAAAAAGAACCAAAACGAAGAAAAAACCTCTATTTTTTTTTATAATTACACATTGCATTATTCTTGAATCTAACCATATATGTTATTATAAATCATTTCGGCGGCCAAAAATTCTTGATAGCTTTTAAAGCGACAACGTCAACAAACAAACAAGTCATAATCCTTCTGCAGTCACAGCCACATAAATTCGTTTAAATCCAAGTGTTTTCGGGTAGCTATTTCAACACGCTAAGGAAAACTAACTCTTGTAGTCAAGGATTATACATAGTAAATATTATAAAATTATCGGATATTCGCGCAGCAGCTACCCTTTAGGCGATAATATCGGGTTTAGCGAAAATGGTCGACAACATAATCCCAAAGTGCCAGAAATTCACACTATAGTACCCATTTTTGCCAATTCTGAAAAATCTGTAATAAAAGAAAATTCAATCCACTCTCCATTGAACAATATGTGTTTGTACTTACATATTGTCTTGATTTTTAACTGTACGATTTATAATCTCTAAATGCTTGAAATTACACTTATTAAAAGAGGCGGATCAGCTAGTCGCCGGAGGGGCGGACACCGGTGTCCTATCTGAGTCAAAAGAACATTAGAATGAATGGTACTCAGTGCGGATGTTACGTCCGTACGAATGTAAAATTAACATTACGTCTATTAAATAGCAAATGAGACTATGTATTGGTCATTGTAATAGAAAGGTCGCAGTGAGGGGGATCGAACTTAAGAGCGTAAACTGCATTAAGGATGTATAATAAATTAAAAATATATATGGGTATACAAGGCTGTAACATCTTGTATAACTATACATATTTTTCAAATTAGTTTATAATCAAAATATAGGTTGGATAATTTTTCAATAACTACGAATGTGCACATTAAAAATAATTTTGATTTATCACTACACACTGTATGTTCCATACTGTATTAAGGGTGTATAATAAATTAAAAATATATATGGGTATACAAGGTTTAATGTAAACAAAAAAAATTATTTACACTAAGGTGCCAAATTTACATTTGAGAAAAAACATAAACCTGATCAAACTCTGACAATCGAATGTCAAAGTATAATTATTCTCTGCTCTGACTAGTCAGAAGGTTTGTTTTATCATCACTTAAATATTAATTTTCGACAACTATTATGCATAGCATTTTTTACTTTTCTCCTAGTAAATATTCTAAAAATATATATGAAATGAGCTCATTATTGCTTATAGAACTACCCTGTTTTATGAAACTACAAAGTATTAAATTAATTCAAAATATCTACTCATTTTTTTCAGATCTCAACCTGGTGCCCCGTCCTGAAGATTAAAATTTTATACACAAGTTTGAATATATGCTAAGAGGCGCCAAAGCCAATTTTTTTGTGAAACGTAGAATTAGTTAAATAAAAATATTTCAAAGCTTTTTTGTGTGTGTTTCTCTATCTTCTCAGGTTCAATAATCCGAACATTTTGTAAAAACAATTATTAACTTATATTAAACATTTATTAACTTAAAGAACAAATTTTTAACTTGAAGGTTAAGAACAACCAACACATTCTAAATTTCAATTGAACTCATCACTTTGTTAGTTACAATAGATTTTGTACAATTAATTATTTCAATTGTATTTTTTTAAAATTAAACTAGAAGCAGCAAACTTCTATCGAATGCTAATAAAATTATAACTAAATTATTAAATCTTAACGGCTACCGTTGTTTTCGGTGTTCAGCGTAACGTTAACTTGTTGTTTCTAATGCCACTTGCCAATGACAGCAAGCCTGGCAGATGAAACCAAGTGCATTTAAGGCAGAGGGAGCGTTTCTTGTTTTTCAGTGGAGCCATTCCATAGCCAAGAATACAACTTCAGCCACACATACGTCACAGTCCGTTCATAGAGTGGACACATTCATTCAATCTCAGATTGTAATTTTGATCTGATCAATCTTCAATTCAGTAATCTCAGAGGTAAGATTTGTTATGGGAACATGGAGGACTTTGTAACCGGACTGATTAAACGTGCACCAGTCACAGGCCCTTGTGTATGGTTGCCTATATCCAATATTAGCTTTTTCAGTTAGAAGAGAGGTGCATGCGACCTAATTTAAACTATAAGGATTAAAATTTAATGTAATTCAAGCATTTTCAATGAAAAAGACGTATGAAATTTGAAACTAGTATACAGTTCTGCCTACTATACATTGAATCATGTTTCTCAGGGTATAATTTTACCCTGAGAAACATATATATTAAATCATTATTGAATAATAATAAGCTTGAAAGTTTTTGAAACATGCACAGGGTAGTTATAATTAAAATTATCTTGTTTATACCAATATCGAGAATGTTTTGGTTGATGGAGGCATGTGAAATTTTGTTGTGCATTATTTGAACTAGAAAAAGAATTTTGCAAAAAAAAAAAAAAAAAAAAANAAAAAAAAAAAAAAAAAAAAAAAAAAAAAAAAAAAAAAAAAAAAAAAAAAAAAAACTCGTTCACCAAACGACAATTTGACGATAGGGAATGCAAAAAGAACATGCAAGAAATAAATAGAATAAACGCTCCATCAGCCTTGCTTTCTTAGAAGTCTTGACACAGGACTTTTAGGGAAACAAGAAAAATAATGAATCATGCAACACAGTATCAATAATTTTATTTTGATATTAAAATTTTAGAACCGACAGATTGTAAGTTTTTTTTTGCATTATTTAATAAATTAATATATTTAAAATTTTGCTCTGGCGTAGTTGGAAACAGAGACAAAAATATATATTAATTTATTAAACCAGTATAATTACATCAAAAAACAAACATGATGGCTCAGGAGATAGAGCGTTCACCTTCAATAAGGTGAACTGGGTTCGAATCCGAGCAATGGCTGGTCGATATGAATTTCGCAACCGGCTTGGGCTGACGTGAAAGGGTTAGAGTACCCTTGTCGTCAGGCTAACCATGGGTGGTTCTCTTCTCCATGGATAGCAAATTAGGGTTAGTTCCATCAAAAAGTCCTCCATGAAGACAAATTTATTCCAATACGTGATCCAGAAGTTCCCTTGTCTTCAATATGACAAGGCTATGGAGTTGAACATTAGCAGCCGTAAACCCGAAATTGGGTCGGCTGTTCAACAAAGGTTATATATAAAAAAAAACACTGCCAGTCTCATTCTGTCCTAAACATTTTTAATATGAAAATAAAATTTACACGAGATGTTCATACATTGCATGCTTCATTATTTTTTTAAAAATTTTCCGACAGGCTCAAAACCTTATTTAATCATAGCTTTCAAAACAGCTCTAAGTTATAGATTTGTTACCTCAAAGGTTCATCAAACATAATAGCTCCGTTGTGATCACAATCACGATACTTTATTATTAAAATGAACTATATAAATCTTTGAAATATAATAATTGCTACTGTATAATTTTTCAAAAATATACACTTGAATATTTCTGATAATGAATGAGATTTCTATTAATGAAACATTTCAATTCTGGCACATGGATAATAAAATAAATGTAACTTTTTCAAGAAAAGGGCAAGTATTAAAACTGGCTCTTAAATGCGGGAGATGAAAACCTGTTCAACTATTTCAATTTTTTAAAACATATTTTAAGGAATTTGATCGGCATTTTAATCCATATAAGTTAATTTCATAGTACAATGTTTTGCTAATTTCTTAATGTTTTTGTATTGTCTAAACAAAACTGGTACAAAATCTAGCTATAGACAGAAAAATTGTGGCCGGTTTAATAGAGTTTAGACAGTTTAACCCACTGACGGTTCTGCATGTAAAAAGTCGCATTTTAACCTGCAGTCTTCTCTGCATAGCAAAACCGGTTTTTCCATGTTAATGGATAGGGGAACTGTGTGTAGGGGAGAAACGTTCTCCCAATTTTGCCCATTTCATTAACCGCCAGTGGGTTAAGATAAGATGGAAAATGTCATGGTTTTTACAAGACAGTCTCAAAACTTTGCCAAACCTGAAATTAAATAGCATAGATTTCATTTAATGGCAAATATATATTTAACAAGGTATTGTTAATGAAATGTATAAATCAAAGAAATAAGGCAGAAATTACAATAATGGAAACATTTATTGGCAATATTTAAAGGAAAATAAATAATAAAGTTACAATACTAATTTTGAAGCAAGATAAATAGCAAAAATTTAAAAGCAAATTTAAATAAGCTACAAAATCAATGTCAGATATCATAGAAACACTCGGAAAAAATGGACAAACAGATAAATAAAATTCTACGGCAACTCTACAATTTTTTGTTGGGAAAAACCGTTTACATTCTTATAAATTTTTAAAAATGTCAAGTGAAAAACATTGATCTTGGTACACCTTATTTGCACATTTAACAACAAGTATTTGTTCTATCATTATCACGGGCAAAGAGGAATTCATGAAGGATAACATTCTGATATTGCACAGTTATACAAATTCACCATTGACATCAAAGCTGAATGATCGCATAATTCTAAAATAATGATATCCAAATTAAGTAAACAGTAAAAGTGTGTAAAAAAACATACAAATAAAATAAAAGATATATAATAAAATAATATATTAAAAAAGTAAATAGCACATCTAAAAATCTAGCAATAAACCAGAGATTCCAGTGAATAGTTTACTTAGAAAAAAAGATAAAGAAAATAATGGATTTAAGAGCCAATGCAAGAAGAATAAAAGATAAGTTTCCACATCACATGAATAAAAATGGGACTATAATTCATCAGCTACACAAATGTGGATGGAGGCAAAATTGTCTGCTAAAAAGGGCAGAATTTGCAACATGCAACTAATGATGATAGTTCATTTATATAATATGCCAATGAAAAAAAAAAGAACAAAGCAGTGAACACAATTTTAGAGGGGTTGCATGTAGATCCATCAGAATACAATTCAGATTTTGTCATTACTGGGTTAACATCAACACCCTGGACTTCATATATCTGAAAATTATACAAATAATTAATTAATAGAATTATAATTAGAAATTAAAAGAAATATATTGAAATATTATTTAATATATGTCATGAATTATATATTTTATTAGTAGAGAAATTTAAAGATTTTAATTTTTTTTTCTTACATGAAACAGGAGTCATCAAAGTGTACTACATTTTAATAATAATTAGGCATAGATGTAATATAGGGATCTCAAACTTAAAGACAGCTTAAAATTATTAAAAATGCTTGGTGGTTTTTAACATAAAACAACAGAAATAGTTGAACTATAACATTTCCTACTAGTCTGTATGCAGACAAATAAATATAAAAATTTAATTAAGACCAATTACAAAAGAAACCACAACATAATAACAATTTGTTTTGTGGGAAAATCAGTAGATGATAACTCTAAACTCAGTTTGAGATCCACACTTAAGCACTAGACCAAGTGAAAATTTCTAAATTTTCGTGTTATTGAGTTAAGATGAAAATTTTCTAATGATTTTATCAGAGATAACAGGATTTGAGATTCATTGTTATTGAAATCTGTTAACTTTATGGGTACGTTACAAAATCTTTTTACTATTTTATTATTAAAAAAAATAAATTTTTCTTTGCAAGAAAATATGGTCCTATGGTTCGATTATCCACCTTGGACAAATTTTAATTGGGGACGGACTGATCTCGGTTAATTGAAATATTTCTATTTTAGAGGTTACATCCTTTGACCCACTGAGCGTTAGCCCACCAGTTTTTCAAATGCTATTTAATAGGAGAGTAGTGTGTAGCAGGAAAATTTCCATACAATTTGACTTCGGGGCTAAATGATTGAAAGATTAATAAATATCTTTTTGCCAAATAATAAGAATAAAGATATTTCATCTTAAAATTCTTCCTTTACATCATTTTTATGGAGGCTTAAAAAACTCCTTTAAATTCAGAATGAACTTTAAATATCAGAAGTATTCAGATGAAAGACATCTAGGTTATAATAGTTTAACGAAACAGTGTTTTGTAATAAATAAAAGTTAAAATTATGAGTTTATTACATTTTTACGATGCTAACATCAACATCTCAGAAGCATGATTAACAGAAATACTACTAATGTCTGTTAAAAGATATGAACAACTTTTTGCACAAGTCAATCATTTAACAATTTTTTATCTCGTTTCACTCTACTTTTCAACACCGAAAATCATATTTCAAAGGAGTTAAAATAAGTTGACAAAATATGGATAAAATCAGAGTTAGAAATAAGAAGGAAAAAGTTAGGCATTAATTGCACCTAGTAATTTTTACCAGTTACCGAAAAGCTGTGTTTAGGTGCAATTTTTAAACTTTAAATTATGTTTGCTTCTGTGTAGCAGCTAAAGCAGATTTTCTAATGACATATAATCAATGTTGTCAATCTCACAAAAAAATCGATATTATAGAAAAAAGAAAATCAAAACATGAAATT